CCCCAAAACCCCAAAACCCCAAAACCCCAAAACCCCAAATATTTATTAAAAATTTGAAATAAATATTAATAATGGTTTAATATTTAAAAATGGGGAGGAGGGGGTGGAAAGGGATCGAAGTGGAAGAGTGGGTTTTTGAAAATTCCAGAGGAAAAATGAAGCTGGGGCTTAAAAGTTGGTCTTGGAGAAATGGAGCTCATCCTGAGCCCCAGCTCCATTTCAGGAAATGGAAATTACCAAGAATCTACTTCAGATTTAAACTACTTTTCTGAAATGCTTCTGCATCACTGTCAAATAAGCTGCTGAGAACGCAAGAGGAACAGGCGCAGAGAGGCAAGTTTCCAGCAAAACTTAGTTTGCTGAAGGAGATCTACAGTAAGATTTTATATTGAAATGATTCTGAGGTTTTGACTAACGTCAATGATTTACATTTACAATTCTTTGAAAAGTCTCATATTTCCGTAATTATAGGTATCAAAGGATAGGTCCTGGTTCCTAGACTGCCTAGCAGGAGTTACTTTGCTTTTATTAAAGATGCTCGTATCTGAATCGATTACTGTGTTCATTCTTTCGAGTCGAGCATCTCAGACACAACGGAGGTCATTATTTTTATCAGTCCTAAAATAAATCTGATGATCATACCTTCTAGTGTTGAGCTTAGTTCTTTTCAATTTTCTTATTCCGTCCTATATCAAAATTTTAGTTCCTCTTGAAAATAGTCAAACTTAATGATTTTACCTTTAACAAAACGCTTGACCAATTTATCAGGCAAAACGACAGGTTTATTTACTAGGGTAGACATAGTACTCTTCTTCAGGAACGATCGTGATTTGTTCTCCTCCTTGCTGTCCAAGCTTGAGTTGCGTAGCTCTTCTTTCCCGGTAATTGAGATGGTCATGAAATGTTTGAGCATTTCCTCATTTCTACATTTTAGTCAAAACTAACTGCTTTTCTTTTGAGTCTTGGTCCAATTTCTGCTGCATTAAACTTCTTCTGATCTTCTTCATAAGCGAATGTTTTTCTAGTAGTTTAGTCTTGAAGGATCTTACTATGGGGCCTCCTTTCAAACATTAAAGACTGTTCAAAACCTCTGGTTGTAGGGAGTGGCTCCTGAGAGAACTCAGGTTTTGAACCTTCCGTTCTCTTCTGATCCTTAATTCCTTTCCTAGATGAGATCAATATTGGGCTAAATAGAGCATCCTCTGCCTTGAGTTCTGTTAAATTCAGTTGAGGCAACAATTTTGTGTACAAACTTTCTTCCCTCATCTGCTGAATCTGACTCTCCAAAGATTCTAGATTTAAGCATGAGAAATTAATGAGCATGGAAATTGTAAGATCTTACTCTTCGGTTGGAAAAGTTTAGTGTTCGAACCCTTAAATTTCCTGTAACTCTGTTGTCTGCTATATGTAAATTTTAGCATTGCTATAGATAGTGGAAAATGCATCGTTTTATTATCATACCAAAGCTATTTTTCCAAAATTTTGATGCTATGAAAGCCAAAATGGTGAAATAGTTGATACATAGGTTTATTAATAAAAAAGAGGTCAGCATGGCTTGCAGGTTTTTGTCAACATCCTTCACTTACCAGTCAAATCTCCTATTTTCTATAATATTAAGATATTATTTACTCTCTTTGAATCTTAGGAAGGAAAGCAGATTTTTTGACTTTAGGCCTTTGTTTAGAAGTCTCTTCTCAGATTCCTGAAAGGTTAAATACTAACTCTTACCAGCAATTCTCCTGATGTTCATAGTTATCAATAATTTAATAAAATTTAGGGGTTTTGGGGTTTTGGGGTTTTGGGGTTTTGGGGTTTTGGGG